ACCACGCAGGAGGGACGCGCAGCGCGGGCCGCCATCGCCTTCAGCTTCTTCTCCATCCTCAGTTGGGTGAGTGCGGCCTGCGGGCGGTGAGGGCCGGGGCCAGGCCGGTGTCCGCTCTAGCTGACTTCGGGCTCCTCTTCAGGTGGCGCTCACCCTGAAGGCCCTGCACCGGTTCCGCCTGGGCACCGACATGTCGATCTTTGCCACCGAACAGCTGCGCAGCGCGGGCCGCCATCGCCTTCAGCTTCTTCTCCATCCTCAGTTGGGTGAGTGCGGCCTGCGGGCGGTGAGGGCCGGGGCCAGGCCGGTGTCCGCTCTAGCTGACTTCGGGCTCCTCTTCAGGTGGCGCTCACCCTGAAGGCCCTGCACCGGTTCCGCCTGGGCACCGACATGTCGATCTTTGCCACCGAACAGCTGGGCACCGGGGCGGGCCAGGACTACCCTGGCTACCCAGTGGGCAGCGGTGTGGAGGGCACCGAGACCTACCAGAGCCCGCCCTTCACCGAGACCCTGGACACCAGCCCCAAAGGGTACCAGGTGCCCGCCTACTAGTGGCTGGCAAGCCCAGACCAGGGCTGGAAGGCTGCCCCACCGATGCCAGGCCCGAGACCTCGTGGGACCTCCCTCAGGTCCTCCTGGCCCAACTCCAGAGATGGAGGGGTGGCCACTGTGGGCCGTCTGGGGCCAAGAGAGGGTAGCCCCCAGGGTGCCTGGGCTATACCCCCGAGTTCCTCCAGTACCTTTAATCTCCAGCCTCCAGTGGATCAGCCTGGGCAGGGGGCCCTTCCCCTCATGAGGCAGCCAGCCCGGGGCTCACCTGTCCACTCTGGCATCAGGGATCCAGCTGCCCTCCATTGCCAGGCGCAGAGTCTGTCCCAGACCGGGGGCAGGAATACTGCCCCCATCCCCATGCCATGACCCAGGGAGCATGGCCACTGCTCCCCGTCCCATGTCCCTGGGTAGTGACAGTCCTTGTTCCTGTCCTGTTGGTTCACCCTGTGGGGCCGTGTGCTCTGTGTGGAGCCTCCTTCCGTTTCCTGTCACCTGCTCGCTAGAGTAGCCTGGCCCTCTCCATGTTGTGATTGTGGTCAAGTTTTCAAGTTTCAACTGATAGTTTCCCACAGGCAGCCCCTCTCTGTGGTTCCTGCTGCTCAACCCAGCTCCTCCATGCATTGGCCCAGGCCTCTTCCTGGGTGTGGGTGATGCTGGCCAGGGAAGGCACACGATGGCTATAGGCCGGGCACCAACCCTCTCCCAGCCCTTCAGTAAGGGCGGCTGGGGACACCTGTGTGCCTGGCAAGACAAGCCTCTTTCGAGGACAGAGGCTCCATGGTGCCCTGGAGACAGCCATTCCATGCAAACCCCTTTACCTTGGCTTCCTGAACCAGTCCTTCAACTCCCTACCCTGCACCCCATTTTAAGGCCCAGTTTAAGGTTGAGGTCCCTCTGCATAGCTGACTACTCATGCATTGCTCGAAGCTGGCTTTTCACATTAAACCAGATGTGGTTGCCACATTTCATTCTTACAGACAGATGCCTCTGGAGTTGCAGTTGAATGACAACCCTGTACATTGTAGCATAGATCAATTATGTGTGGATATTTAAGTGAACATGTTTACAATTTTTTGTATATATGGATCTCTCCCTCCCTCCTCTGAAAGAACAATCCGTGATTGTGTATTTTCAGTGTCCCATGTTCCAACTGCAACTTCTTTACAATAAAAAATAAATGAGTTTACTGTGCCATAGACACTCTTGGACTTAATCCTATCCCTGCCCCTCCTGGTAGCAAAGGCTGGGCTCTGAAGGGCACCAGGGCCCAGAATCTAGGAAGGAGCAGGGAGGTGGAGGCCAGGCTGACCTGCATATTCTGGGGGTTCCAGGTCCATCAGCCCTTCACCACACAGCACACTGATCTAGAACTGGATTTCAGAGCAGGCTCTCTGAAATGCTGGGGGGATCCCCATCTCTTATTTCTTTTACTAGAGGCCCAGTGCACAAAATTTGTGCACTCAGGAGGGGGGGTCCCTTAGCACGGCCTGCACCCTCTCACAGTCCGGGAGCACTTGGGGGATGTCTGATTGATGGCTTAGGCCTGCTTCCACTGTGGGACATCTTTAGCACGGAGGCTGGAGTCTCCCACCACTGCTGCTGTGCTTGCCAGCCATGAACCTGGCTTCTGGCTGAGCGGTGCTCCCCCTGTGGGAGCGTACTGACCACCAGGGGGCAGCTCCTGTGTTGAGCATCTGCCCCCTGGTGGTCAGTGAGCATCATAGCAACTGGTCGAACAGTTGGACACTTAGCATATTAGGCTTTTATTATATAGGATGATGATACTAGCAGTACTAAATATTTCTTGTGGGAGTATATCTTTAGAATATCTTTCATCAGTGGATGGATGTCAACTTTGAACCTTTATATTATTCCTATGTTTTGTTTTATGTTTTTACTAGAGACCTGGCACATGAAATTCGTGCATGGGTACGGTCCCTAGGCCTGGCCTGAGATCAGGGCCATCTTTCCTGGCTGCTGGCAGCTGGCCCTGCCCGCCACTACCACCCACCCCCTGTTCCCCATTCACCATTGGGCAATCAGAGCCTGCTGGGCAGGGTGGGGGGGAAGGAACCAATGGTTGGTCAGCAGGCTCTGATTAGGCAATTGGGGTCTGCAGGCTGGGGGCAGCTCCTGTTGCGCGTCGGCCGCCTGGTGGTCAGTGTGCATCATAGTGACCAGTCATTTTGCTGTTTGGTCTATTTGCATATTACCCTTTTATTATATAGGATTGTTTCTAGAGAAAGAGGGAGTGATATAGAAACATGGATGAGAAAAACATCTATTGGCTGCCTCCTGCACACCCCTTACTGAGGACCAAGCCCAAAACCCAGGCATGTGTCCTGACCTGGAATCAAACTGGGGACCTCTTGGTGCATGGGTCAATGCTCGACCATTGGGCCACACTGGCCAGGCCCCAAGTTCTTTTTTTTTAATATATATTTTTATTGATTTCAGAGAGGGAGAGGGAGAGATAGAAACATCAATGATGAGAATCATTGACCGATTGCCTTCTGCACACCCCCTTACTGGGGATTGAACCCGCAACCCAGGCATGTGCCCTTGACCAGAATCGAACCCAGGACCCTTCAGTCCATAGGCCGACGCACTATCCACTGAGCCAAACACGCTAGGGCTGAAGTTCTTGATAGTTTTACTGGGTATAAAAATGTTGTCATTTTCCTTAGAACTTTAAAAGTATTTCTCTAGTATATTTTAGGATCTTATGCTGCTGAGAGCAGTGATAATAGTACAATTTGCATTCCTTTGTAGGTTATGTTATTTTAGTAAATTTTTTTCTAAGTTGTCTCTTTAAACATTTTTTTTTAAGATGTGGCTTAAAAAAATTATTCTTAGTGCTTGTTTGTATTTTTCTATTTCTTCAATGCGTGGGAAAAAGTCATGATTCTCCAATGGCCTCTTCTCACCACCTTCAGCTCCTGGGACCCATCAGGTGTATCATGCAGCTTCCAGAGCCACATTGCATGACCAATTGCCCTTTGGAGGTTTCCCCAGCTTGGTCTTGTTTACTTTTAAAAAATATATATTTTTGATTTCAGAGAGGAAGGGAGAGGGAGATAGAAACACTGTGGTTAGAGAGAATCATTGATCTGCTGCCTCCTGCACACCCACTTCTGGGGATCAAGCCTATAACCTGGGCTTGTGCCCTGACTGGGAATCGAACCGTGACCTCCTGGTTCATAGGTTGATGCTCAACCACCAAGCCACACCAGCTAGGCAGTCTTGTTTACTTTTGAGCCTATTTTTATGTCAGGTTTTCATTTCTAAGATTTTTAATTAGTTAGTAACCTCCTGGTTAAGTGAAGCAGTTAAGATCCATCTGGAGCTGGAATGCTGGCTTTGCCACATTCAAGCTTGGTCTTCTTAGGCGAGTCTCTTAATTTGTGCCTGGGGTTCTCCTCTGTGAAAGGATAATAGTTCCCATCACGTAGGGTGGGGTGATAACATGTGTAAATACATGTTAATACTTGTAAAGAGCCCAAAGCAGTGCCTTTCACATAGCCAGAATTAAAGTGTCACTTAGTGTTCTTATAGGTTTTGCTTAATAGGTATTTTTGCCCTAGCTGGTTTGGCTCAGTGGATAGAGCGTTGGCCTGCAGACTGAAGGGTTCTGGGTTCAATTCCAGTCAAGGGCACATGCCCGGATTGCAGGCTCCATCCCCAGTAGGGGCATGCAGGAGGCAGCCAATCAATGATTATCTCTCATCGTTGATGTTTCTATCTCTCATCTCTCTTCCTCTCTGAAATTAATAAAAATATATTTTTAAAAAAGAATAGGTATTTTCAATATTGTTAACATGATATCCAGTTTCCACATTGCTCTTCTGTGGGGTTGGTTGTACTCAGGTCTGCAACGAGGGCAGGAGGAGACGCTTGTGTGTGGTGGGAAGTGGTGGCCTCTGATGCATGGCCCTCACCTAGAAACATTGCTCCAGTCCCAGCCCTGGGCGGACAAGCAGTACCATCCAAGTCCTCAGCTTCAGGCCGGCAGTGGTAATGCAGCCATGGGGCTCTGGCCTGGCTCCTCTGCAGGCCACTGACTTGGGCCTTCATACTGTTGGTGCCCCCTTCTGCTTTTAGAAAGGCGTCTCCATTTTTTCTCAAAGACATTTCCTTTGCCTATTGGAATGTGTTTATAACTTTTCCCTTTCTATATGTGTTTGGGACAGAAAAGGGAGATTTCAGTACGTGTCTGGTCCCCATCCAAAATATCACAAATTACTTTCTCACAGTATTTCAGTTGTGCCCCTCCCCCATTTCTAAATTGTTCTTGAAGTTCATAGTAGCTCT